AAAAAAACCCAAATCCCTCAAAAAGGCCAGACCTACTGGACTGATAGGGAGAATAATGGAACCCCCAGAAACTATTACCCTAAGATACCCTTTCAGCTGGGGCCTAAGGTTCTTCTGGAGGTCACCTTTCAGCCAAATAAGAAATCGGCTTTATAAACAATATCACCCTTGGGTGATGTGCTCCCTTAAACAATCAACTGTATGAGACCAAGCAGTTAGCAGTTAGTTACCCAAGAACAAAGAAACCCAGGAGGTGGGAGGGGACAGTGCCTGATGAATGGGACAGAATCCGCAGAATGGAACGGACCCGGTTTGGTGGACAGACAGTGCTGTGGAGGTGCAACAGGGAGTTGCTATTATACTTCAGGAGTAGGTACTAAGTTATCATGGGAGCTTGATGAGTAATTAATGTCATCATTGAGTCCTACAGTAACAATAGATGAAATGGAAAGTATATATTTGGCCACAAATTTTCAGTGCTTTCATTTAGAAAAGGACTTCTTGCGTAGGTTACCCACTGGCTCTGCCTCTGGAAACGCTTAGCTATATCTCCGCACAGACCTGTGACCATGAAACATGTCTAGATTGGTTCCTAACTAATTTTAAAACTTAACATTCCCAGGCATATTTCAGGAGCCTGGTTCTCTACTCCTACATGTGAAGGGGGAAAAGGGCATTTTCCCCAAGAACTCCAGAGGGTGGGGAAATGTTGAAGGAATGGTAATAGGTGCATGTTTTATTCACGTTGTAAATATGCTTCCGAGTTGTGGTTAATTCCATAGTTGCTTGTTGTATTGATATATATGATTAAACAAATAGGGCCTCCATTGTAAAAGAGTAAGAAGTTCATGTAGAGTTGTCTCCCCTTTGAACTCCGCCACCTCACTTCATTTTCAGCAATTACATTAGGAATCCCTTGCTTGTAAGGCTTCTGGTGCTTCTGCCTGGACGCAGGAGGAGAATTCAAGTGTTTTCTGTTTCCATTTTAGACTGTGAGAACATTCTCTTTGAAGGGAATGACTACCAAGCTCTTTGGTCAAGAAACTCCAGAGCAGAGAGAAGCCAGAATCAAGGTGCTAGAAGAACAGATAAGCGAAGGAGAACAACAACTGAAGTCGAAAAATCTGGAAGGCAGGTAAAAATAGTGAGCAGTTTAACAGAGTTGAACCTGCAGACCGCATGGTGGCTGTTTTTTGTTTTGTTTTTTAATAATCTCCAGCTTTATTGGCATCCCTGGATCTAACCTGCCTTCTAAAATTCAATGATGGAATTTTTAAGAAACTTTGAGGTCCCTGAATCATGAAAGAGTTGTTTTAGTACAGGAAGAGTTTCTACTTCGTGATAACATTTTTCTATAGTTTACATGATTTCTGTCCTTTGCACATTCCATCTGCCCTGTTTCCTAGCTCATTAAACAAGCCTGGTCATCCTTGAACCCTCTGAGCTTGTCAGGCTTCCCTGGTGCTCAGTTCACGAGGAGTTCGGTAGTTAATTGTGCTTTGTCTCCCTCGCTGAACTAGGAGCTCTTCAAAGGCGGGACCATGTCTTTTGCATCTTTTTTTAGGCCAACCCCTTTCGTAGGGCTGGCTTCATTCAGCGAATGGTTCTAGAAACTTAAGTCTCAAAGATCTGATGTCACTGGCTTGGTTCACTATTGTGTTGTTTCCACTGTCAGGTGGTGAACAGACCAAGGGTGTGTTGTTAGTATTTGAGCCGGTTTTGTTCATTTTCAGAAATACTGGCACGTAATCAGTCAGTAAAATTTTATGGAGGTGAAAATATAAATACTTCTCAGAATTTTTAAAACTCTAGTTGCTATTTAAAATAGGTCCATGGTAAATGTGATGCATCATCCATATTGTCGGAAGGCTAGATGTTTCCTCTGATCCCAGGAAGGCACTTCGGTGGCATCTGTAGGGTTTGTGAGCTGCTTCAAGGAGCAGTCGACATCTACCTTAGAGGAATGATTCAAATGTAGCATCCTTGCAGCAAGAATCAAAATTACCAACCTGTAGAAGACGGTCTCTTTTCCACGCTATCATTCTGAGGAAGAGGGAAAAAAGAACTGTCTTATGTAAGCAGGAGGTTTTTGTTTCTTTGGTATTAGGTTAATCATTGGGTTTAAGCATGTACAGTTTTGGAAACTCCTGGGACCCGTTCTATCCTGTCCTATAGGGTCTTATTTAAATAAGGATAATGACTGTCTCTCTTATTTCAGAGAATTTGTGAAGAATGCTTGGGCTGATATTGAGCGCTTCAAAGAACAAAAGAACCATGATTTGAAGGAGGCCCTCATCAGCTATGCGGTCATGCAGATCAGCATGTGCAAAAAGGTCAGTGAAAGCGCTCTCGTATGTGGACAAAGGGTCCCGTCATCCTCCTCTTTAAAGCCCGTCCTCCTCCCCTTCTTGAACGTAACCCGATTTCTCTACTTAATTTTAAGAGACGTGTTACAACTAAAATGTAGTTACGGAGTCTCTACTCATCTCAATTTCCAAGTGTGTGTGCTCCATTGATAATCTGTTTTTGAAAATACATAACAACAATATTACCTTGGACAGGACAGTAACACAGCATTACTAATATTCACTCACGTCATCAAGTTGATTCCAACTCAGAGCGAACTATAGAACTGCCCTTGTGGGTTTTGGAGACAATAACTACAGGAGTAGAACATTGCATCTTTCTCCCGGGGAGCTGCTGATGGTTTTGAATTGCTGACCTGACAGGTAGCAGCCCCCGCTCATGTCCTACTACCCCCACCAGCTCCCTAGTGTTTCTGTAGTCAGGGGCATGCTTGGGAAGGAGCACAATCACGGTGTTTCCCATTGGATTTTTCTTTCTTTTTAAGAATGTAATCATTTTACTGGGGCTCGTACAACTCTTATCACAATCCATGCATACATCCATGGTGTCAAGCACATTTGCACATTTGTTGCCCTCATCATTCTCAAAACATTTGCTTTCTATCTGAGCCCTGGGTATCAGCTCATTTCCCCCCTCCCTCCCGGCTCCTTCACAAACCCTTGATAATTTATAAATTACTATTATTTTGTCATGTCTTACACTGTCCAACATCTCCTTTCACCCACTTTTCTGTTGTCCGTCCCCCAGGGAGGAGGTTATATGTAGCTCCTTGTAATCGGTTCCCCCTTTCCACCCCACCCTCCCGGTATCACCACTCTCACCACTGGTCCTGAAGGGATCACACAATCACTATTTTGGGAAGTGTGTTAGGATATGGTTCGTTGCTATGGTAAATCTTTCACATAGTTAATACTCAAAATAAGAGATGTGGAACTTGAAGGTTATGTTTCCCAAAATAAGTGCTTTGACTGTGGTGGAAATCTTTTTAAAATGAGATTTTAGGTAAGAAAACATAAGCTATGTCTGTCTTGGCCTCTTTTTCATAGCCCAGGCTCTCTCTGCCAGTGTGACTTCCGGGTGACCCCAGGGCTGTACATTTGCTTAGCACTTACAATTTTTCAAGCAACCGAACACACATTCCCTCATAAATCTTATAGTAAGAATTCCTCTACTTAAAGGCTACGTAGGTGAAAAAACACTTTCATGTAAACACATACACACCTTTTATACCTAACTCTTGCCAACACTTTCCGTTCTGGCGCGGCCATCACTTTCGCAAACCTCTTCACTTGCAGCTCCACTCTTAACAGTAGAGAACAAAGCTGCTTTGATAGCCAAAGGCTGCTCCCCCACTTTGAGGTTTCTATCGGGCCATTTAGACCCAAACCACACTTGCTGCCACGGAGTCCCTGATAACTCCTAGGGGCCCTCTAGAACAGCAGCACCCTTACTGAAAAGAGAGGTTAAAGTCCTGCCTGGTAAGTCTGGAAATTCAAAAGGCTCGGGGTTTGTGTGTCTGTGGCTGTCTCCTGTGAACTCCCCACTTCTTGCATGCTGCTGGGGTGCCTGGCAGTCAGACCCACTTTGTTTCACTGCTGGTGGTCGGAGAGAACAGATGACAAAGGGCTGTGGAATGGTGGGGTGCCCATCAGAGACTCATTAGTGAGCTCTTTTTGGTCTCCCGCTACCTCCTTTTGCAAAGTAAAACGTGGGACTTTCCTACTGACTCCCCAAAGCCTGTCGTTGAGGGTGGAGTGAGTGAAGGCATTCGAAACACAGTCTTGGAGTCCTGTAGGTGCCCCTGACTGTACTGATGGTTCTGTTTTCAAATGTGCAGTGCTCTGTGCTGTAGAGACCTGAAATCAAGTGTCAGGAGCCCAGATTAGTTTTTCCAAGATAAATGCTTTGTCTGTTGCTTGGTGTATTAACTTTCAGAATAGCTCATGCTTTGTTTTAACACCAGCTATTCAAGGTGTTAGTTGAATATACGCGAGTAAGTTACAGCAATAAAGCAAAAATATGTCATCTAAGTATTGATGGAAGCCTCTAAAAAGCAAATGGCATCATTATTTGGGGTTTTTCGGGGGGATGAATATCAACCTTTTGGAAAGTGAATTGTCTAATTTGTTGAATCCAGCAGCTTAGTTTCTCCTGATGCTTTGAGAAATTTATTTTTACACTACTGTATCTCTATGGACTAAAAAACAACCATTCTTGCTGTTAAAGTAACACATAGGTTACTGCAAACATTTCAGATAATTCAGAAGTATATATTAAGGAAAAGGCCCCCCCCCCCCCCCAATCCCATTTTGACAGTCCGTCACTGTTACAACTTTACGTGTGTCCTCCCAGGATTTTTGGAGGATACACATTGAGACATGGACAACACGTTTTCTTCCCACACAAACGGGATTGCATTGGATGCACGACTGTGTAGTATGCGTTTCTTCACGGGCATCGCGCCATGATGGCATGAGTTCTGTCTGATTCTGACCGCGGACTACCCTCCATTAGGAACTGCTTCCGGCCGCGCTTAGACATTTTGAGGGATGTTGGTTTTCTCTTTATATTCTGACAGGAAGTGGAAAACTCTTAAGGGTTCTCAAATGGGTTCTTACTGTCGTCTGTGGGCTCAGTAAACATTGACCCACTTTTGTGCTTGAGTGTTGAAATTCTTCTTCTACAGATGCACAGTCCTCAGAGAATGTGTATCTTGTTTACCGAAAGCAAGACCAAAAAAACCGTTTTTGTACTACTTCGGTTTGACTGTTGAATCATGACACGCAGGTTTTGTCAGGCACGTTGGGCCATCTGTAGCTTTTGGCCAAAGAGCCACTGAGAGAAGTATGTTATAGTTTACTGCATAATTGTTTTTCACTAAAAATTTTGTTACAAAGAGGAATTACTGGAACCATGGTGGGGACTGAGCATGATAGTGGGCCGGAGGAAAGTCAAGGGAAATAGAGGAAAGAGCTGGGAGGCAAAGGGCATTTATAGAAGTCTACATAAAGACATAGACATATGCAAATATATATATGAGGATGGGGAAATAGATCTATGTGCATATATGTATAGGTTTAGTATTAAGGTAGCAGAAGGACATTGGGCCTCCACTCAAGTACTCCCTCAA